TCTCTAGAAAATAAAAATGGTTCACTAATTTTTGGCAAGTGTGTAGTCTGTTATTTAAGAGTTCCCTTGAATACACACAAATACAAACATACATATCCACCCAACCTAATTTTAAATTTTCCAATAAAAGAATATCAATGTTCAAAAGAATACCATATTAGCATAAATAGCTGGCAATTAAAAAAAAAAAAAAAAAAAGACAGCCAACACAAAACCCAAAGTTCAGAAGTACATTTTAATTCCTAATTAAATTTTGATCATAAAACACATGTAATAACAGGAAAAAAAGGGAATAATTCATACTTAAATTCAACTAATTTGGGATCAGTCTGGCATAATGGTTATATCACTGGTCTCCCACATAGTCGACCATGGACCAAGACCCAGACTGGTGGCTTAAAACTCACACTGGGTGCATGTTCATGCATGCACAAAATCCTGAGAGGAGAATGGAGGAGAAAAGATTTTAGTGTGTGGGACCAGCAGTTAGCATAATGGCTATGTCGCTGGACTCCCATGTAGTCGACCATGATTCCCGTCGGCGACCCAGTGACTTAAAACTCATGCCAGGTGCATGTGCATGCGTGCCCAATGGCTTGGCCATCCCCCCTGGGGGGTGATTTCTTGCTTTCTGTCTCTCTGTCTCTCTCTGTTTGGTGAGTGCACGCGCCTTATAGCAGAAACCTCTAAAAGAAAAAAAGAAAACAAGAAAGATTATAGTGTGGCCATCCTCCACTGGGGAAGCATGATTTCTCACTTTCTGTCTCTCTGTCTCTCTCTGTCTCTCCGTTGGGCACACCCACCCTATAGCAAAAATCTCTCTCTTAAAAAAAAGTCAACTAACTTTCTCAGAGATTTTAGTAACTTAAATATTTACATTACTAAAAAATTGAAATTGTGGAGAACTACAGCAGAAGTCTGAGAAGTCATGAGACTGGATGGAATCTGAGAGCTCTAGAGCCCAGGGAAAGGCATCTGGTATCCAACAGCATTTTCTACTGTCTTCTCAGAAATGGTATTTTTTGTCAGAATAAGTGGTACAAGTTGGTATGTAGCATAATTTTCTAATATAAGACTCAAAATGTGAAGAAGAGTGGTTCACTGGGACCAGCAGTTTGTGTAATGGTTACACCACTGAACTCCTATGTGGTCAACTGCGGTTCAAGTCCTGGACTTGGCAGCTTAAAACTCTTGTTGGGCACGTGTGTGAGTGCCCAAAATGAGAGGAGAATGGAGGAGAAGGGTTTGTGGCATGGACATCTCCCTTGGGGTGGGAGGAGTGATTTTCTTGCTTTCTGTCTCTCTGTCTCTCTCCGTTTCTCCAGTTAGTGCAAGTGCCCTATAGCAAAACAAACAAACAAACAAACAAAAAAAAACCAACAACAACAACAACAACAAAACCTCTCTAGAAAATAAAAATGGTTCACTAATTTTTGGCAAGTGTGTAGTCTGTTATTTAAGAGTTCCCTTGAATACACACAAATACAAACATACATATCCACCCAACCTAATTTTAAATTTTCCAATAAAAGAATATCAATGTTCAAAAGAATACCATATTAGCATAAATAGACATATAAATCAATGTAATAAAATAGAAAGATCAGAAATAAAACTTCAAATATTTGGTCAATTGATTTTTTGACAAGGATATAAAGAACAGTCAATGGAGTAAGGACAGTTTTCTCAATAAATGTGCTGGGAACCACAGACATCCATATGCAAAAGACCTAAATTGGATCCTGCTACAGTCAGAATGTATACCCCCCCAAATTTATATATTAAACCTATCCCCCAAGGTGATGGTATAAAAAGATATGGCTTTGGAAGAGTCTTCAGAAATAGAATTAATGCACTTATGAAAGAGTCTAAAGGGATCTTTTTTGCCCCAAAGGCCATGTAATGATGTAGCAAGAAAGCGCCATCTATGAGGAATAAACTCTTAGTAGATAATGAATCTGCTTACCTTGATCTTACTGGGTTTTTGGGAAAATCATGATGCATTTTTGCAAGGAAAAACAGAAAAATATGGCATGACTTTCCTGATGATCTATAGATCTCTTAGCCTTCAGAATGGTGAGCAATAAACTGTTGTTTATAAATTACCCAGTTTATCCCAAAGATGTGAGGATGGTCAACATACACAAATCTATAAATGTGATACACCACATTTACAGAGTAAAGGATAAAAACTTTATGATCATATGGAGAGAAAGCATTTGACATAATTCAACATTCTTTTGTGACAAGAACTGTGAACACATTAGGAATAGAAGGAATGTACCTCAACACAGTAAAGGCCATATATAGCAAAAAAACAAACAAACGAAAAAAGATTGAAGGCTTTTATAAATATTAGGAACAAGACAAGGATAGGATGTACACTCTCATCACTTCTACTCAACATAGTACTGGAAATACTAGCCAGAGCAATTAAACAAGAAAAATAAATAAAAGGCATCCAAATTGGAAAGAAAGAAATTAAATTGACCCTATTTGCAAATGACATGATTTTATATGTAGAAAATCCTAAAGGCTACCAAAAATAACTGTCAGAATAAACAACTTCAATAAAGTTACAGGATATTAAGTTAACATATAGAAATCAATTGTGTTCTGTTTCTATACACTAACAATAAACTATCCAAATATGAGATCAAGAAAAAAAAAACTATAATACTACTAACAAACAAACAAGCAAAAAACACAAGGAATAAATTTAATCAAGGAGGTGAAAGAACAATATGCTGAAAACTACAAAACATTGAAGACAAAAACTAAAGAAAGATATCCTATGTTCATGGACTGGATGGATTGTTAAAATGTTCTTACCACCCAAAATGATCTATAGAATCAATGCAATCCCTTTCAAGGTTCTAATGACAGTTTCACAGAAATGGAAAAAAAATCCTAAAATTTGTATGGAACCACAAAAAAAAAAATTCTAAGAACAAAAGCAATCTTGAGCATAAAAAATAGAGACATCACACTACCTGACTTCAAAATACACCACAAAACTATCATAATCAAAATAGCCTGGTTCTAGCATAAAAACAAACTCATAGAACAATGGAAAACTAGAGAGCTCAGAAATAAATCCACATACTTGTGATCAATTGATTTTTAATAAAGGTATCAAGACTCACAATGGTGAAAAGATAGTCTTCAATAAATGGTGTTGGGACAACTGGAGATCCATGTGCAAAAGAATAAATTTATTCTTACACCATTTATAAAAATTAACTGAAAATGGATTAAAAAAAAATAATAAATAAGTAAGTGGAAGACCTGACACTGTAAGGCTACCAGAAGAAAACAGTGGGGAAACATTTTACACCATGGTCTACGTAATAATTTTTTCAGTAGGACTCCAGCACAAGAAACAAAAGCAAAAATAGGGCCTAGCACCCCATGTTCCTGAGGGGCATGGCAATGGCAGCAGAGGGAGCTGGGGATCCAGAAGTCTATACTATGTCAAGTACACAAGAGCCAGATTGCAGATTTTCAGGCTGTTCCAAAGGAGCCTTCAATTGCATTGGAAAAGGTACAGGAACTCTTGTTTGTTTGTTTGTTTGTTTGTTTTTAGAGAATTATTTTATTGGGGCCAGCAGGTGGTATGGTGGTTTAGGTGCTGGATGCTCCCACATTGCTGATCATGGTTCAAGTCCCAAACCTGGTGGCTTGCTTTCTCACTTTCCCTCTCTCTCTCTGGTCAAATTAAAATAAATGAATAAATAAATAAAATTAAATATTAATTACCATGAATTTTGCTTAAGGGGGCTGGCAGGTGATGTGGTGTTTAAGATGCTGGACTTCCACATGGCCGACCATGGTTCAAGTCCCAGACCTGGCAGCTTGTTTTCTCACTCTCTCTTTCTCTCTTTGGTCAAATTGAATAATAAATAAATACATAAATAAAATAATTCTTAAAAAAAAAAAAGAATCAGCGGCTGGCAGGTGGCATAGTGGTTAAGGGTGCTGGACTCCTA